CGCTACATGCAATCCACAGCCTCTTGTCGTGTAAATTAGCGGCTTTGTTCGTCGCCACACTGGGCCGCTATACGGCCCTTGCAGCTTCATGTTCTCGGCTATCACCGCCATTGTAGCTGAATAGCTTCCTCGCGTTTCTACTGGGCTATAGCAAAGAAAAGTCTGTTCAGCTTGGCGTACATGCGGTTAAAGTTGGACGTTAGTTCGTCTCCCCACAAGCTGGATGCCTAATGCTACTGGTCCTAGTATAATTACTAGTGTGATGCTACTGTACTACATATCTGTTATCCTACCTATTATTCCAATGAACATGCATCAGACGTGGTCCTTTTACAATTCTGTTCAGCCCCGGTTAGGACCATGTGCTGCCTATCCTATTGACGTCATTCCACAATACTAGAAATCTGAGCTTGAGACTATGTATGCAAGATTCCGGTGATATAAGGCAACATTCACTGAAGTAAGCACCAATCATGACTAGAAGCCAAACTGAGTAAAAAAAGTGTTTTGCATCCCTTGCCACGCTGCCTTTCTCTCCTAATTCTTACTTTTGCCTTTTTTTTTTTCCTGTTGCCTTACTTGGGAGGGTTGTTCAAACTTCCTCTTTGAAGCTATGTTGTCAGATTTCGTTCGTAATACCTAGTGGCTGAGTAGGGTCATAGCACCCGGATACCCCAAACAATAATTAAAGATGCCGCTTGAAGGGCTAAAAGCATAATAGTTTTAATTGCTAAAACCAGCATTCCGCATTCCTGACCCGGAGATGGAATGCAAGCTTACAAGGCTTAAATCATGCGACCTGAAAAGCCTGCGGGTCGGCATTGGCGACCTAATCAACCATTTGCTACAGGGCACTTGACAGGGTCATTTAACGCTTATGACCGATGATATGTCATATGTGCGCAGCTGCCTTGGCTAGTTTGGCCAATACTAGAGGCTGAGGTCTCCCTAATGGGAATTTAGGGGGCTGGCTAAACTCGAAGGGTGATAGATACCATCTTTGTTGGATCTAGCTGTTCCATTGCACTAGCTATTCCATCGTGGGAGAAAAGTACGGTGTAGAGCAATTACTATATCAAAAGTTTTTACAATGCCATAATGCAGATATGATCTTATGCTGTCAGCTATGCATATAGCGGGCAATCATCTGCAGTAAGAAGCAGACGTGGCGATATTGAATACCATACAGTTTCTTCCCCGATTTAACTACCGAATAATCTGCCGTGTAAGAAACCCACGACTAAGGATAGTCAGTTTACCAATTTCTCGGGCGCCTGGGAAGCCTCATAAATAGTCAGATTTGTCTCAATTTGGTTAGTGGAATGGTTGCCTGTCTGACATTGCCTAAGGCAGCCAACTATGTAGTTACTCGAAATGGCAACGGTTAAAACAATCTCACAATGAATCATCAGCCTGGTGAATGGAGCATATACAACGCCTAAGGATGAAAAGGGCGTGAATGTGGATCATACAAAATTATGACAAAGGTATTCGTATTCCAGGCAAACAACCTGGGCAATCGACATCTTATACTGTTGACACCATATGCCTCCTCTCTGTTCTGGCAAAAGAGCATGATGTGTTAGTGGATTTGGAAACTGAAGTCAAGAACAGAGGTGTATAGCTGTAATTACGTCGATGGCAATTAATAAGAGTTACAATTGAGCATGCTGCCATAATCGTTTTCGTTTTTCATTATTTGTAGTGACAATTTTTGAAACAGCGGTGCTTGCTTGATAAGATTTATATTGATGCATGCTCGTATAAGTCAAGCATTTAAGCAAGATCAAAAGGGCTCATAAAAAGATACGCTTTTACTTATATTGAGCAAACTGGTCAATATCTCAGCTATGGATGTGATTATAAATACGCTGGTCGTCTAGTGTCATGGACATAACATCTGCTCTTCATCAAGTATGGATATACTGGTATCAAACTTCTTCATCAATATAACATATAGTCAAGAATATTTCCAAGACACTTAATCAATATTGCAATTTCCCTTATTGTCACTAGTAAATAACCGATTAGCTGTATATACAATAGTATTTATATCTAGGGGAAATTGTCAAAATAAGTCAACCATATGTTCTGACTGCTTGTTTCCTCAATGCAATATCAAGCTCGTGGTATTTGCTATTTGACTATAGAGCGGTTCTACACATGTTTTCACGCACCCCATTTTCATTCAGCAGCATATGCCGCGTATTTAGCACAGGAAGTTATTTTTTCATTATTACATATATATTGCTATTGATACTTAGCCAAAGTCTTCCTTGTTGTGGACGTTTCTGCCCAACTTTACTGCACACCCAGCCATTGGCAGAGTCAACAGTATGACAGCCTATCAGAGCAGTTTGCTTAATCATCCCTGCAGCTCAATTTCTTTCCTTTTTTCTCCCTCAACCACTATTTGCCCACGTACAACTCCTAGACGGTATCTCAAATATCGAATTACAGCTCCGATCCTAGGGTCAATCCTTCACTAGGATTTGCTGTGAACAATAAGGCAACTGCAACTACCTCAAAATGTCTAAAAAAGGCGTCTGAGTACATGCATGTAAACGAGGTAACCATGCAGTTTGCTGTTATGGCAGGAGCTTGCGAAATGTTGTAAACGTAGCAGCTGAGGTGATTTCGGTGACACGTCGCTGGGAATCTACTGACCGGTAAGATTTCAGCCCATGCGGTGTAGTCTAGGCGTCCGAGACAAAGGCTATTGGCATGCAAGAAATAGTCACAAGCCGCATCTACCTGAGTCTAGACCGCGCTGATACTTGTCAAGGATCGAGACAACGCAAGGGCAGTATGCAGTGCGTAGAATTAGTGCTCTTCGTTGCTGTCACCAATTAGCCCAGTGTGTTAATGCAGCTAAGGCATAGATCCTGGGCCTGAGCAGGAAGGGCGCGTTAGGAGCTAATGCGACCACGGCAGAAGCTACATGTACAAAGTTTGATGCCCAATGCCGAGTTTCATATGAGTTAGTAGCTGGAGTGAGTGCGAATGGCAGAGGAAAGGTCGGGATTTAAGCGTCAACGCTTATTAACGGCGGATTACAACTCATCGTTATCTGCGGTGCATGACGCTGGGGGCTCGTTACGAAGACAAAACATGCATATCCCGTCTGCCTCTAAATGATCACCGCAGCACCCACCGTATACGTGTTTCGGCCTTGGATTCGTCAAGGGAGAGAAATATTAGGTGAATATTAGCATTCATTTTATTGGAAGCGTTTTTAGACGACAAGCAAGCAACCCAAGGGGTAAAGTATAGATTACTGGTTCGTTAGATAGCTATTCTAAAGCTAGGTACTGTGAAGGTCACGTTTTATCATCATGGGCTGGGATATACTCTCTTTGGATCTTCATTGGTCTGAATCAATCAATGCTCAACTTGATTGCACAAGTAAATACAATGCTAGTTTTCATATGAATCGATTTCAGACTCATCCCATATTTAAAGATCAAGCTACGTAGTCCATCCCATAAGTCAGATCATCTAAGATGCACCAGATAGCATCTGAGTTCTTCGCATCATTTACTACTGCTACAGTCTGTTGGATGAAAGACTGGTTTATTGAAACAATGTACGGCCTATACGTGTATATTTCATCTTTCGCAACTCAATCATCAAACCTTTGTCATGCATGTGCATAGCCACCCAAGATTATGGTATTAAATAGTCCACTGCGAAGATTTGCTTTTCAATCCCTTTTTTTTGATCCTAAAGAACTGAGATTATCAACCCTCTATTGTCTCTCCCTGCGGACTATAAGAAAGTGAATCCCTATGTCGATAAGCATCTTGAATGAGTATCTGGTCAGCTCATTCCCCCCTTTCAACTTTAATTTCATGACATCTTTCACACAAATGAAAGTATGTACTCTGTATAAGGTTCAATCTCTATATACTGTCTACATCCCAAAAACCACAAAAGTTGGGTGCAGAATCTATACAAACGAATCGTGTCCGAAGCCTTATATACTGTGGACACCCCACAGACATAATATAGCCAGATCCCTGTTAGTTAAGACAGTCCTCATAAAATACATCTTAGACTTTACGAACTATCTCTGTAAACAGTCTTATTACCAATTTTCCAGAGAGGCTATGGAGAAAGCAATAAACTATCTATTTATGGAACCTTAAAGCTGATTAAATGAGTGACCAAGACTCAGTATGACTAAAATCAAATCACAACTTAAAAGACAAGTAAAATTCATTTCTTGACAACTTCTGGGCCTATTTTGGCAATCTTGTAGAGCTAAAACTTTGCTGAGAGGCCTTCACGCAATATCAAGACGCCGTTATCAACGATGAGGCATCCCTGGAGCTCTTTGAGCAGAGAAGCGGTGAGATGAACTTGATGGAGGCCGATTCACGAGGAATCAACAGCTCTCTGGACCAGGTGGAAAGAAATTCCTCCATCCTGAAAAGAGCTTTGGCAAGTGACATGCTTCAATCATACAGCTCAAAGAATGGGTTTATCTGCAGGATAACAGCAACAAAGCAGAGAAAGCTTTGCCAAATATCAGGAGCAAATACTGGCAATATATTTTTATCAATCTAATCTTTTCCATAGGCTACTTAATAAACTAATAGGGGGCAATGGTATTAGGAGATGTTCCAGAAATAGTATCACTTCAGTTGATGAAGCCCTTGGATGCTACACCTTGACCCTCAGATGCATTCACTGCTCAAACCATGAGATTGCACTATGCATTCTGTCGCTGCGCTGTTGTAAGTACCTCCAAAAGGATGGCGGAGGTTTCTAAATTGAAGGCCAAGAATCAAGATGGCTAGTAGCTTCATTATTGGAAGGAGACCTAGCCTTGTGACTACACTACGCGATCGCTGCCTGTGCCGGGTGTCCGCTATCCCAATCTCTTACGTTTGACCCCTACATAACTTCAGTTCGTGACACTGGTGCAATATAGGCAAAGTATTTCCAATTCATCAGTTGCTTCATATCATCATGATGCCGACTATATTATCAAATGCCTAACTTAACATAGCCTTAATGACCTCAGTCTGCTCTAGAACACTTGATCGACTAGTACCACCTTTCGCTGATCTCAATTCAACACTTGTCTCATAATTGAACGTATCTATGATATCATCTGTAAACAGATCATCAATAACCTTTGGTTTTTCAAGTGAGAGTTTATCCATTGAAATGCCCAGCTCCTTACTCTTCGCGACTACTCGTCTTGAGATATGATGTGTCTCGCGAAGAGGCACACCTTTTCTAACTAGGACTAGGAAGTCAGCAAGGTCTGTAGCGAGAAGGGTTGGATCTAGTGCAGCTAGCATCCGCTCCGGCAGAATATTAAGTGTAGATAGGATACCATTTGCGATCTGTATACTATCAGAGATAGTCTTAACATGACCTAGCATAGGTTCCCAGCTCTCCTGAAGATATTTTTTATAAGTAGAAGGTGAAGCCTTATTTGTCATCATAAGGCCAGCGTGTTGACCAAAACCGCGCCCTGATTTACCGCGAAGTCATTCAAGCTTATCTGGGTTCTCTATAGTGTATGGTCCTGCGCCTTCTCTTTCTTCCAAGAGTTTGCTGCCTCGAGGCTTCTTCTGCAGATATATCCACTGAGTTGTAGTAATGCTTAGAAATGGTGATACATTGACTTCCGGATGGGCGTCGCGCACAGTGGCATACGTCGCGTGCAGAAGCTGCCAGGCTGTTGAGTGGTGGAAAGGCTTACCAGTGCTTGAGGTAATGGCAGGGTTGGCTCACGTGCCGCGACTCATTATGACAAACTTGCAGAGCGAGCTTGTTTAACGCTCACCAGAGCACGCTGCTTTGAAGTATTCAGGAGGAGCCACTTTGGGCAAGTAGGGTGCCATTATGGGTGATTTCGAGGACCTGGGTAAGTTTTGGCTTGGCTATCAAAATCTCGCTAGTATAGAATTTCAGCATCTAAATTATACCAAAACAGATTTCTTTCAAGTAAGAGTTAAGGCTCTAGATAGTATGAATAGAAGATTATAAGTCTCGAGCAATCACGAGATCCTCAAGCCAATACTAATGCCGCCTATCGTTTGATCATCCCTCACATAGTGGAATATTGACATCATGAGCTTGTTCTCTCTTTCACTATATGTATGACCGATCTGTCTAAGGTGTCTGAACTCTCATATCCTAGCAGGTGATAGATATTTGACAAATTCTGAATGCAGAACCGGAATGAAAGGCTTCTTAGCTGTGCCGATCCCATCGAGACACATATAAATTTCGTCTCTTGTATTTCCTAGTAGCATAATGTGATATAAGTAGATATAAATTTATACGATAGCATCATGGTATCATCTCCCCTACTAACACTAGGGTACATTTTCGAGTAACCAATCCATTGTTTCCCAACGCCCTATTCCTTGGGGTATAGTTGTCAAACAATTATGAAGATCCTTCACAGTCCAAACCACCTGAACTCTTTCGACAAATTGTCCGAAGTGAACACCGAAATCTTTCTGGGATGCATCAACGAGCAATCGGAGTTGTTTACCCGCCAATGAAGCTGCCATCCACATCAAGATCACTTTCGTAGCTGGGTCGCCGTTAAAGGCACCACAGCCCCATAGTCCCGTCCATATCAGATTCTCACCATCTGACCAAGATGAAAACGCCGTATACGCCTTTCGAATCTCCCTCATAATATTTTCCTGTTTCAAATCGGGTAACAATGCAGAGCGTTCTGCTTCGTCGAGCTCCAGTGCATCCATAAACAGCATTCGGCCACCTTGTCTCTTTTCCGACTCAAGTTTCTCCCAATCAATGTCACGGCGCTGGCCCAAGATTCTCAGCATAGGGCGTGCCCCACGGGCAACCAGGACTTGGCCATCTTGCAGCGTGGGTGTAAATAACACTGCGGGACAGGCTTCGGGACAGTTACCCACGTATAATTCCTCTTGAGTTGCCGACTGTCCAAAACCGATATCCCTATTAGCAGAGACTACAGCTGCGCCACTGTGCCCTTGATAGGCAGCTTCCTGTGGCTCTGTGCTGAATCTTTCCAAAGGGACAATGGTTAGTCTCCCTAACCGAGATTCGTCCCATTTCCACGCTGAATATGTTTCTGGACCGTCAAAAGCATGTAAAGAGAATTCGACCTGAATATCAACAGATGGTCCAGAGCTTCTCATCCATGATTCTGCACTGGATTCCTCAAAGTACGAAAAAAGTGCGGTGAGGTACATTCGTACCGCCTGCGGGTGCCGTTGTCCGGACCCATACCAAATGCTAAAGTCGTGGTATCCTTCTCGCCAGGGAGGGCATTGGAATGTGCAGAGGAACTGGTGAGCTACAAGGCATGCAACTTCCTTTGTTGTAAGACACAGTTTTTTCCCAGGTCGTAGCACAGGAATCTCTCGCGCTGGGAAGAAATCAGGTAGCATAAGAGCGAACTGGACGATAGTTGGCCATAATCGTAAGAAAAATGTGTCGCCGTGCTGCTCCACAACTTCTCTAAGTGTTCCATAATCATTTGCTGCCCCAGAAGAACCATGATTTGCATGAGCGATGGTATCGAGAACATCAATAAGCTGAGTCGGGTTGTTAACTGGCTGGCTAAGTATATGTTCAAGCAACGGCCAGAACGCTACCAAGCCATCTCTTCCTTCTGTATCAAGGAAGCTGAAGCGATCAAGGCATCGCCGTGATGGAGAGGTAGGCAGTAGCAGATCCGGCCACAGAGATTCCATCGCCGCCTTTTTTTTTTCTCTCTCTTTTGGCTAGACCTATTCCAATGGCCCTGTACTGGTTAAAAAGGGGCTGAAACAAGCTTGGTCCAGACCATTAAAGATATATAATGAGCGGCGCCAAGTTTACCTCTTTCGTGATGAGTCATCCGGTAACAGCTGAAAGCTATGAGGCGGGGTGATGCTAACCTTGTCGCCCCAGTTTCAGCTGTCATAGAGTGGATTAATATGAAGATATGAAGAAAAGATAATAGGAAGATCTTGGGTAGTATGGCTGAATTGGTGTTGAAAAAAAATCCTTCAATAGTTGATCGTCCTTACCTTATGCTCACAAACGCCGTCTTTCTTTCGGTCCCAGAATACAGGTCGACTCTCAAACAATTAAAAAGTTCATTTCCGGGTCTCTGAGCGTCTGCACCCAACTCTTTGACCCTCTTTCCTCTGCTGCTAGGTTCCAGATAACTTGGAGCGTTTCCATGGCGGTGTGGATGAAGCCCCACGGACATACTGTCGTCATTATCCGTAGTCTTTCCATGATAAGTTTTTGTCGTTCTGGATTCCTAGTCTCTGCGCCAATGATGAAGGTTGGCCACGTCGTTGCTTTGAAGTTGGGGTCTTCGACGGGAATCATGTTCAGATGTGCCAACAAGTCATCGGTTAAAAAGGCTACAAATTCCGGGCCAAGTCTCTCTCCGACAGACGGTACAGCTTGCAAAATGTATATACAAGCAGCCAGGCGATGAGCTGATCCTGCGTGCATGCGACTTTGCATCGACTCGTTTGACAAAGAAAGGACTTTCGCCGTGTCGCGAGCCCATCCATAGATGTCGTAGGCTTGAGCACGTTTAACCAGCTCTATGCCAGCCATGGTAGTTTCCTCGTTGGGTTGATCATTGACTGCGTTGTTCGAAAGCTGGGAGGCAGTGTGCAGGATTTCCATCAGTTCTGGTGGGCAGCACAAGTAGCTATTCGCTACCGTCTTGCCGAGCACAAAAGGAATCTGTGAGGACTCAAAGTTCAAAGACGTTGCGTATCGCGTTGGCATAAATGCCGAGGCGAGGATAAAGTAGCTGCAGGTGACAGTTAGTAAATCAAGGGATTATTCAAGCGAAGACAAGGCAAATAATAAGATGTTGAAAAAAGAGATATAAGAGAGAGCTCACATAAAGCAATCCGAGAGGAGGTAGTCCCGCAGTGAACTATCCCACGCTTGGGTGAGCTGTATGAATGACATGATTTTTGCCGCTCCTTCCAGATGCGCTCTCCAACCATGCTTTCCAGACTCAATCAACTCTACGTTGATGAAGAAAAGCGACGCTGCAAGGACGACGTCGCCATTCATAGTATCGAGGTTTTGAATGGCAGCAGACATCAGCCGCAACGCTGTGTGTTTGGCGACCAGTGCATCGTTGAGTGCCTTTTTAGATGCCGCGCTCGGATTCGCAGCTACGAGGCCACTGTCGTCATACGGCAGACCCATAGTTATCAAGTTAGACATGTGAGCCGCCGAGGCTGCAACTATAATGTGTTGCAACAGCGGATGAGCACGGGTCAGTGGTATAAGGCTGCGAAAAGGATTGCACTCTGGCCCATCGGTAGACACTAGATCTTTGCACAGGCGGGTCGTAACTGCAAGTGAGATATTAGTCAAAAGACAAAAAGGTTCATTCACTGTATAAGCCAGGGAAAAGAATCTGGCTCTGGCTCATACGCACAATAGTTGAGATAGAACCGGTCAGACTGATTCAGATCCTGAAATAGCGGATCGGCCAGCACCCAAGGACTGCTTGGTTTGATATAGGGAGACCTGGGCAAAGGGGTGGACAGCGGCGCTTCTGCACCAGCCGACATGCTTCTTCCGTAATAGCCATTCCATGGTATTACGGAGACTCTGTGAGACATTGATGAGCTCCTCCTAGAGCGCACCTTGGCCACCGCCAGAGCAGGCGACAGGGCCTCTGCGTCGGCTTCCGCGTCTATCTCGGGCTCTAGCTCTGCGTCTCTGTCATTTCCAATCCTGTTCTCATGCTCATTCTCATTCTGGGTCTCAGCCGCAACGGGCGCGCTCGACGTGCGGCCGGCCAGCTTCCCCCGGCTGGCGATGGCTCCCGTCCAACGAAACAGCTTCCCATAGCCGAGACACTCCTTGCCAGAGGCGGCACACTTGTTGCAGTGTGGGTACGACCGATCACAACGGAGCCTCTGCCGGCGGCAGTTGTGGCAAGGCTTCGTTGGCGGTTGGACAGAGCCCATGGCGACGCTTCTGCAGACCGTGGATGGGGCCACCAGTCGAGCAACAAAACATGCATGCCAGGGCGGTGCGGTTCGAAATAGAACGAGAACTGCCCTCTTTGCAGCTGTCTTTTGCGAATCTCGGCGGCATGGCCATCGTGATGACAACGGCGCGCTAGGCCGAGGCCGGAAGCCAAGACGCAAGTCGTGCAGTAGATGCCTCGGGACTGGTCGCGCCGGAGCAGAGGCCCGATTCTCCGAGCGCTTGCGCGGTCTACTTTAGCGGCATTAGTCGCTGGAAAATCCGTGGAATTCTGTCTCAGGCTATGGAAGCTTGGGAAGGTACATGCAGCGCGGGCGATTCATGGGTGTGTCTACATGTACCAAGGCATACAAGAGAGTCGGAATTCCGCAGGTGTCCCGAGCCTTGATTCACGCAGAAGAGTCATCGAATGCAACTGGCGACCTACTTTGAAGCTTCTACATAGTATTCCATTTTGGCAGCAAATAAGCTGAACGGGGCTGCATAGGTAACGGACATCCATCAGCCCCTATGTACTAGGTACCGACGAGAGGTCATGTAAAGGTGGACACACGATCAACTACCTATTCAGAAATGAAAGTAATGACCATAGATGAAAGTTGTTGGATAAATATTCGATGTATAAATTAGCATCTATCCAATAATAAGATACGTGTACATTGGTAGATCTAACTAAATATCTTGGCATTCTCTAAGCTTAATTCTCGCTAACCTACAAGTCCGCGTATGGCTTTTCCAACGCTTACAAAGGTAGGGACTCAGTATAAGACACATGGCAATTGTATTATATGTGAACTTTCAGCAAAAGGTGGAGCTCCCGAACATGTCAAAACTCTCGCCCGTTACTTGGACTACGACTTTCTACTTTCTCTAGCATTTTTCTATTCGCAGATATCATTTGAAGATGACAATGAAAATCGAATTCACCGCTGCTTTACGAGATACCTAACCCTATTTACTACCATTTTTTCATCTGAAATTGGCCTGCTTCCACACAGCTTTACTTGCAATTCAGCCAATTCATATTCATTAAACATACGCAAACTACCGTCTTCAGGTGTTATCATAATCATCATGTAGAAATCACCTTGTTTATACACTATGAATGACGCTTTGTGGCTCCTGTCTTATGAATGCTGCGATCTCGAGAAGAGTTGTTGATGACGGTATTGATCAATAGAGGCAAAACAGCTTACTCGACATCATACCGACACTGTTGTCAGTTGAGCTAGCGAAACATCGAAAAGGTTATCAACTCTTCTCTCGCAAGACTGCCACGTGTAGGAGAGCGCACATGGGACATTCATGAATACGACACACCCCCTAATGTTCCTACACCTCGATACGCTGATAGTCAAGACCCCGGCAAATACTGCAGTCATCTTGCGTCCAACAGTATTCACCTGAAACGGCTTTTTGGCTAATCTTGGCGCTCTTTAGGAGTTTCAAGGATTTCGCCTCTCGACCCATTCAATCGCCGTTTATATGAACACATCTCTCGCAAGAGGATGTCACAGCGAGGTATTTCGTAATGTGACAGCCACTCCCACTGCGTAGAATTTTATTTGATGCTCTAAAACCCCGGCATGTTCGGCGTTGGAATTGACAGGTCTACGAGAACCGGCTGGGAAATAACTACTAACCTCTTATTTAGACATGCTAGCTGATGTAGCAACGCCATACCCCTGGGCGCTGTCAGCTTTCCATGAGTAATCTTATTAAAGTTTACGCTTCCAGGGTTACCTCTCAAATGTGATATGACATGGTTCACGCAAATGGTCGCCGAAGAACTGACGTAGCATGCCGCGATACAGTTCACTGCAAGGAATCAATGAATTGCGCCGAGACATCACACAGCGAACGGGCCATTTGGAATTGAACCCGAGAGCAAGCGTATTGCAGCACTAAGGGTGCCAACTGCAGTCAAGTCGACTTGTCATAATAATGTCCCCGGAGCAATGCCCGGGAGAGTGCCCGGAGTGGTGCCCGAAATAACCAATTGCTGTTCTGTTGAATTTTGATCATTACTTCCGGCATTTCTTATCATGGAAATGATGGTAAAAGTGTCGCGAACTATTTCCGCGCTTGAATTCATATGCAGTTGACCGGATATGAATGCCGAAGCTTCAACTTGTTAAAGGCCATGCTATTCACTTCACATTAGTGCATGCGCAGGTGTGCTGTAATACAGGTAGGTACCTTGCCAAGCTAACAATGAGTGGGTATGCTTACTGACATCGGCGATCTGTCTGCTTACAAGTCTCCCAGTGAAAGGGGCGTGAGCCTTGGGGAAGGCCAAGAACCTGGTGTTTGCTAGTAACGTTGATCCCGAATATCAATGTCAGTTCGCATTCGTTCAAGCGTGCGGTTCTCGGCCTGGTGAACTGGGGTTCGCTAATAAATGACCCCATCACATGCCCCCTTCACTCATCTCGGGAAACCAAAAATCTGGAACGCCAGCCCACATTATGGACACAGGAACTGTTGATTTGCACCTTGGTAATTTTCCCTATTAAAGCACTAGTATTCCCAACCCTTGGCTTTACTAACCCTGGAGTTTTGCTCTCCTTTTTCATTCTAGGAGGAAGCTTCGCGAGGTAGCAGCAAGAAGTCATTTCAATTCCAAAGGGCTTATTGCAGACTACACACATAGACTAAACTAAACTCTCCAGTTCTTATACGTATTCATTGCTGGTGATGAGGTTATTTTGTGTTTTGTACCGTTACGCATGGAATAACCCCCAGTGAAACCTGGCCAACATTTTTGCTGCAAGCCCATGCTCAAAAGCTATTTTGGAATTTGAGCACTTCTTTGAAATATTGTAGAGATGGTTTTAAATAAGCATAAGAATAAAATCAGCTTTCAGTTTTGTATATTTATTATGTGAACGAAGTATCGAGCAACAAGATTAATCTCTCTGTTTTCTCTGGCCCTGCCATCAACCCGACTGGAAACTTCGAAATACTTGGGTGTAGCTTGGCAGAAAATGTATTTGTTGAAACCATCAACTTATTGAACTTGTTATTTTCGCTTTTTGCCCTCTTTTTCGCGCTTGTGGCCCTGTAGCCTTGCCCGACGCATGACGCAAAGGAGATGATACACGAGCTGTATATGAAGACAATGAGCCAGCGCTAAATAAATTACTCAATGAATCGCACGAATGATTAAGATATCGAGCATCATTGGTCTGGGAGATGCGCATTGCTTTTGGTCCGAGTTGTAACGATAATGATTTCTGATATGCTATTATACTCAACGCTATGAATAGAAATGCATCTAAAAAGTACAGTCCTAGGGAAAATGAGGCTATCGAGGCAGTCTTTCTTGGTGATGAGAGAAGCAAGTATTACAATTCTGGTTGTCAGTAAAGCTGACAAAGTTATGGGTAGATATAGGAGCTGCTTGAACATCAACTGATGAATTATCATGTAACTATGCAATACTACAAAGTCTGAATCTGTTACCAACACACAACGGCGACTCATATGCATCAAAATATCTGATTAAACCTTTTTAAATCGCCGGCCATGACTACATCCTTTTAGTAGATGCTTTAAGCTACTCTGTGGAGGAAATATCTATACGTATAACGCTTCGTACGTTACAGCACAGTCACTATCGCTATATCAGCTCTGTTGAGAGGTCAATGGCTGAGCCAATGATATACATAATAAGTGATGAGCCGGGAGATGAGTGTGTCCATGAATTAAGAAGGGCACTCTCTGTCAAGCTCGTTCCAAACGAGATGAATCAAGACAGGATATCATTTCATGAAAGCATGTGATAGACTGAGTTTGTTCATTCATGCTTCCAAAAATGGACATGTACTTACTCCCCGCATTAATGACAGCAGCAAAGTAAACAGGCACAACGGGTATGTTCGCCATCACTTATCACAAATCAAGAATGAACATGTTTTATGTCTTTACTATGCCTATTTCAAATCTCTGTGTCTGTTTATTCCTGTTCTATACAAGGGCTGTAAGATTCATGAATGCATGCTTTGGATAGCGGTCTTGGCAGCAAATAGATTGTCTGCCAACCAAGAAGTCAAGACAAAAGATCCATGGATCTACCGATACGCCCAAAACTAACTGATCAGATAATAGTCTCATTGTAGGCATATAGACTCGCAAGAGATATAGCCAACGCCAGAAGAAAAAGCTGATACTATCGATACTATTCTACATGCACTCCTGTTTACGAACTGGAGCTTTGTTGGTCGGCTATCTAACCGTTGCTCACTAGAAGTAGAACGAATTATACGAACGAACGATCGAACTTAACATGATCTCTACTTAGCATATAAATTTATTGCTAGCTATCCTCTCATGGCGCGTCCCTATCCGCGGGATAATTCTTGAATCCATGGTGTCGAAAAGGCAGTTGATATACACTGGACCGAGTAGTTTCTCGTTTCGGACCCCGATATAGCATGGAGGGGTAAGCAAACCGGGCTCCAGATATGAAGCACTGCAAAGATGGCACTCGTATCGTGCAAGCTTGTCTGTCTTGCAGAAGAAACGCCCGCTCTATCAAGCTATTACCACAACTGGGTATTCTCCGTTAGATGGCGGCGGATTTAATCAACGATGGAAAATCCAATACGGACGGCATACAAAGCTAGCGTCGTCTGGGGGGGTTTGGCATTGGTGGCATTCAAAAGGGGCCTTGCTACTCCCTACACACTGTCCATACCAGTGCATAGGTACGCTAGGAAGCGCTAGCGGCCCCAAACTTATCCAGGGAAAACGCCGGCTCCCAAAGCTCACCTGGTCGTCGGTATCCTGACCTCAGAATTAACCCGGATTAAAAAGCAGCTTGACAGCCACAAAGCTAGCTCATCCCACAAGCAGCCCGTTGGAATGGTCGGATAACAGCAGACGGCGCAGAGGCTGCGCCATACGCCCCCCCCCATCCGTGCCACCGGACTCCTAAGCCACGGTGAAACTCTCCACTTGTCGCGTGGATAGAGCAGGGAGTATCCCGGCTGATCGTCGAGACGGTGGGGAGCATCTTAGTCGCAAACGGAGTGCTCCGAAGCAGCCTGCTAGCCGTCCTTGCTCCCACAACCGCTCCCATCGCATTGGGATAGAGAAATGAGAACCTAGATTAAGGGCGAAAAGGGGCGGGGATAAGAAAGAAAACGACACACTGTATGCATCTTGAGCGAGCAATCGAATTTCATTTACATATAGAGCACACGGCAGGGAGCCCCTCTCTGTCAAGGAACAAATGATCCCGCTGTGACGAGCTTTTGGGCAGTTCGGGCTGGGGGCCAGTGGGTCTGTTTCAAATTCATCTCATGGTCACAAAATTTTGCAATAAGCTTGAAGACGGCATTGGTGTACATGTATGGACAGTAGGTATCTATGCAGTGCAGTACGGGAATGTATCCGTGTACTCGCTATTGGTGGGAGCTTCAATGCCGATGACTGACATTCTACGAAACATCGGGACACATTTCAGGTGACATCTTTACAAGACAGGACTATCCTGGCGGAAGTTAAAACGATTGCATTGTATGCAGCCAGGGAGGACTGCCCTATTTCTCACACGTAAATGTTCCCGAGCGCAAACAGTCGCTCAGCCCAACCACGAGACCCGCAGGCAGGGGACAGCCCGATGGGTATAATCCGATGGGTAT